GGCTGTTTTTCTAGACTTATAACCTCAATTGTTTAATACATGTTGGTACGGTATATGTTTTTATAATAAAAAACTTTATAAACTATGGGATAAACATACTTAATTGTAGATGCATAATTTTCAAAATTTTACATCCCAAATTTAATAGTGAAAGTGAAACCTATAGTTTATAGTTATTATCAAGAAATTAATTAGCATAAAAAAGATAGTTAATAAGTAGTAATAAAGTTAAAAAGGAAAAAGTGGGCCTTTTGTAAAATTCGCATATTCTTGTATGGGTGATACTGGTGCCTGCATGCCTGGAGAGTCACTTGGACCCACGATGGTCCCGTATAAAGTTGTGACTGATATTATATTGCCCACAAAATTACAAATTTTAGCAAACTGTAGGAGTTTTTTTTATGAGGGTCTGAATTTTTAACATATTGTTTGATTAGAGCATCTTAAATATTATATTGAATGATAAAATAATAAGTTTACCTGTCTTATCATTTTTTCCGAGTACAACATTGTACTTCCAATTTTTTCCTTATTAAGACACCGTACTTTGTAAACTATAACCAAATTTAACATTCTAATTGGGTAGCAATAAGAAGTACAAAGTTATATAAAGCTAAATGGGGAAGTTTGAATCGGGAACTTCAACAATACAAAACAAATTTACATGTTTCATACATTCAAATACAACCTTTTCTTCTAAACAAAAGACAACAACATCAAGACAATTGGCAATGAAATTTGGGTAAAACAAAAGAATAGAGACAACTTGTTATACTATTAAAATGACATATGAACATGTTATTAAATTATTCATGTCATGGTTCTATTAATAAAGTTTCCTTTCTTGCATCTTCTTCTTTTGAAATATTTTATTGGCCTTTTCTGCAACTGGCCAAGCATCATATGTGGTATGAGGCACCACAACGGGTAGTCACCGTATCACCTGAAGTTGGTAATGATTTTCAAAGTTGCATCAACATAACTACACTATGTGTATGGGATGAATGTAAATTTTGATGCTTCCTATAAGTAGTTAGATCTAACAAGCTTTTGACTTGGAATTTGTTTAGCAAATTTACAACATCTACACACCTCTAGTGTGTGCAAACCTTATCAAGCAAATAGAATGAGAGACAGTGGACCAGCAACATTACCTTATATATGTAGATTCAGCATCTAGAATGCAAAATGATCATTAATAAAACCTAAACACAATGATAATTATGTTCATTATACAACAAAACATAAGTATAATAAACCATTAATTCCTTGAATTAATTTTCCCATTTACTAATTGCTTTTCACTGCTATTTGATTAGATGAACAATTCACAATGGTAATCTAGTTATAGGGCAAGGCAAAAAAGAAGGAAAAAAATACGTGCAACCAGAAGAGAGAGTAGATTGACCATTTAATAATCACTACAGATGAATATAACATCTTGCAGATATGATTGGGAGAGAGGTTGATGTCGCTACAACAGTTGGCGGAGGCGGGGCGATGGTGGCATTTTAGATAGGAGGAGGAAGACGGTTTATTGAAGACCGGAGAGGGAGAAAGAAGGAGGAGAAGGGGGTTGTGTCGATGAGTAGAAAAAAGAAAACGCCTCCCATATGTTAAGTGAAACATGTAATAGTTAAATTTCAAGGGGTGCTTGGGACTTAGTTTTGAAAGGAATTAATAAGTTATTATCGTTTTCCACCAATATAAAGCTCAAATGAGTAAATGATTGTTTGACAATTATAAAACCGTTGTTTAACATCTCTAATGAGAGTTTTGTCCGACTAATTTTTAAAAAGGATAAAAGTTTTGTTCAACTAATTTTTAACATCTCTAATAAGAGTTTTGTCCAATTAATTTTTAAAAATGATTATAGCTGCTTGGGATAAAAAGGATAAGGGTACATGGAGTCGTGATAGATGGATGCATGTATGGAGGAGGGTACCGGCGGCACCACATGGAACACTATTCCCTCCCTTATGGTACCATATAACTATTATATGACATATGAGTTGGAAATAATAGAATCCCTCCATCTCATAACGCTTTTATTTTAACCTAAACTATCCTTATAACTAACTTACAAACATTTTTTCGGAAGGGCCTATTAACTTTTTAGATTAATAGTTAATATGTAATGATAAAGTTATATAAATTTTTGTGTTTTATGTAGAAGAATCAAATATTATTTTGGGAAAACTTTTGATAAAGTCTTAAATGGTGTTTTGAGCAAAAAAAAAAGTTTCATTGTTTTCGAAAAATCACATAATTTATCATTTTTTGTTAAAATTAAAAAAAAAAAAAAACACTTTTTGTTAGTTTTGGCAAAATGTTAAATAATCAAGACTTTTCTATTCATTTTTTTTAAATATTTTATCAAAATGTTTCTTAAAACAAGGAGTCTTTATTGCATTAAACCTTAAAGTTTTACAAAAAAAAAAAAGATAAATAAAAATAAAAAATAAAACGCCTTTGTTTTCATAGATGAGGATCCCCACTTAAGCCCCAACGTTTTTGGAGGCCCGAAAAGTTTTAGGCCCTAAATTGGGGTACGGTAATACGCATTAGAGGCGGGAGCGACAGTCGCGCACCGGTTATCGGAGGGGGAAGCATTGTTTGTGAAACGAAATCCTAGCGGGAAACTCGTCTTCTACAGATTTTAGTTCTTAAACTACGCCCTAGTTCAGTTTCGAGCAGGTAAATTATGTTTCAAAATATTTTTACCATGTGGGCTTTTCTCAAGTGATTTTTGGTTGATAGGGATTTCATGTCAATGCAATAATGCGTGATCACAGACATGGCCAGCTTCATGTTTGTTAATACCAAACACCGAATTTTTGCTCTAATTTTGAAAATCTTTTGACTTATCTGTATCCAAGGTTGTAGAACTCGCTACTCGGTACCTGCTCGGCCGACTGGGGAGTAGCGAGTACTCGGGAGAACTCGGGGAGTACTCGGATTCGGTAATTCATGTAGAAATATTTTTTGGAAAATTATATATGCCAAAATCATAAGCTAAAATCATAATTTGATTGAAATATATAACCAAAATTAGATACATGTGAATACATAAAAACTGGAATACACACAATTGTCTCACTACGTGAATAATTACTGAAAATTTAAGATATATATATAGTAATAATCACATGTGTGTGTTAAATAACAAATCATTAAGTGCGTTATACATATTAATCTTGAAATTCTTGATTTTTTCTCTTTTTATGACAATTTTGACCCTTTGACCGAGTTTGACCGATTTTGACCGAGTTGGCCGAGTTTGACCGAGTAGGCCCGAGTAAGACCGAGTAGGCCCGAGTTTGACCGAGTTTGACTGATTTTTGACCGAGTTTGACCGATTTTTGACCGAGTTTGATTGAATCTGAGTTTTTTGGCCGAGTTCACATTACTCGCCTCGGTGGAGGGCCGATTCCGAGTAATCGGCCGAGTAGGTCGAGTTTTGCAACACTGTCTGTATCAATAAGATTGTGTAAGAAACTCCGGATTGATTCATTTCAGTTTAATACAGTATGATTCTGATTTCTTAGATATAATGTTTCCATTTTGGGTTTTAAGAGATCAGACATGTCAACATGAAACATTGAAACTAATTATTTGGGTAATTGGGTCATAATTAATAGCTCTTTATGACATGAAACTAGTTATCTTTACTCTTTAGAACAATGCACATTGATTTAAAATTGTTTGTTGGATCATCCTGGGATTTGTTTGAATTTTGGTATATTTTGTTTCACTTAAGGCTTTGATGACAAGAAGCATGACACCAGGGTAAGGAGATATATTGTGGGTGGTTGTGTGTACCTTGTCTATAACTTTTGTATCCTATGTGGAATTTTCATTTACCAAGATCTCTAGTATTTATGTTTCTGTTGCAAGTGTTTGAAATGTTGTTGGTTTGACATGATACCCGTGTTTGGATGATTTAGACTCTTTTCTAGATCTGCTGCTAGCAATCTGTTCCTAACTACAAAGTACAAACAAATAGTTTAGAAATAGTTAATGGAAACTAAATACAACCATATCTGTATATTCTCACAAAATCAATTTTAACTTCTTCATTGGTCTGCTTCTTTGTTTACATATACAAAAAAAACAAACAAATTACTGAAATAGTTGTTGTGGTTTGGCTAAAGTTGCGCGTTTGGTCCCTATCTTTTGTTTTGCACTCGGACCATCAGTTTGCTTTATCTTGTGAAACTGATAACAATGGAAAAGACAGGTTCTTTACAGCGTAAATGTGGTACTTCCCCCATGAATGCATGAAAGTTGATCACGTAGATATGTGTAGATATGTGAGGCTCTTTCACGTATTTATGATATTGTTTATTCGGGATCGGGATTTCTACATTCTAGGGTTTGACAATAAACATAATAGAGCAGTAAGTAGTGTGTATGGGGCAAACATACATCATTGATTCATCATGAAACTAGAGTTGCCAATTTTATATAGAGTAGTAGTAGTATTCGACTTTGTAGATTGACTTGATTGTCGTCAACTTTTATGATGTGAAGTCAATTTGATAACTTTTTAAAAAACTGTATGATGGTGGAGATAGAGGTATGTTTTACCTTGAGGTTTTAAATGGCTACTTGCACTCTATAATCATACGAATTTTAGATTACAACATTGAACTTCACAAGCTGCAAACTCACTACGCATAGAATAATGTTGGTTGATTCATTCCTATTCCATACTACCTTCATGAATTGTTAAGTTTATATGTTCTGTCATTTAGGGTGAATCATGTTGTTGGCATACTCTTGAAATATGTTTTTTTTTTTTTTTCGGAATTAATGGTGTTAGTAGTTGCAAAATACCTTGAAATGAATAAATGCTTGTGGTAGAGATCTCTTCACCCTGCCTGTGGGAACAATCCGGTTGTGTTACATGGTTACTGAGTGTGTGTGTGTGTGAAGTAATATTTAAAGAAGTTTGTTTTCTAATGGTTTTATTACCTTATAAATTGTGGATCTGATTGTAAGAACAAGCACTAACTAAGCATCTTGATTGGTCTAAATAATCTATGTCACCATAAAGTACATAAAAACTTTAGTGAAACATACACAATTTGGTTAACTCTGTTACAAAAACCATCACTATAGGGAATAAAACCCTGAGAGGTGTAGTATGTGGATTAAAATGATTAACATCACACAGGATTCATGTAGTTGTTTGATGAATTATATTATGGTTTTATATGCAAGTGTAGGAATGGCTAGAAACCAGAATGATGATGCTGAGCAGGGAGATGCCCAAGACTTGGTCAGATGTTAACCATGATTTGCTTGATTTAGTGATGATGCGGTTGGGAGTTGTGGATTATTATTCATTCCGTGGAGTTTGCAAGTCTTGGGCGTGCTCTAATGAAAAAAACAAGTTTATGGCCTCCATGCCCACCCATGACCATAATAAGTATCTGTTGTCGTGCTCATGACAAAACCTGCTTCCTGGAGGACTTTGAAAAAAGAAGGTTTAAAACCATCCTTCCTTCCCCATTCGCCTGTGTAGGATTGACATGTGGTTACTTACTTGATCTTTTTTGTTAAGAAAACCCACAGCTTCTGGCTTGTGAACCCTATCACAAATCACAATTCACAAGGAAGGAACTTCATTTCCTTAAATTTCCCATCTGATTACAACCCTGGCATTGGCAGGGTTATCCTCGTCTTTTCACCCTCAATATATTGTTCTGTTGCTTCATTCCTGCAAGGAGATATGGTTTTCAATAGAGGGTAAATCCTACCCTTTCTCCATCCATGATATATATGCTTTCAAGGGGAAAATATATGCTCTAAGCGATAAGATGCATTGTTTATTTGAACTGAGACTCATTCCACACCCCAAATTGACAATGCTCGAAATCAAGAAGCCCAATTACTTCTTTTATGCGACTATGTTTGTAAGTTCAGGTGAGAGACCTTCAATTTCAAAATTTCTGGGGAAATGAAATGGGTAAAACCGTGTATTTGAAGAATATGCATTTTTTTATAGCGACTTGAACCACGGTGTTGCTGTTGCTGTTGCTGTTAAAGGGGAGTCACTCGGGAAATTTGCTTCATTTCCCAACACTGATGATGATGGAAATATCACCTTCTTTACTGCTACAATGTGGTACTTTCCCCATCAATCTATGGATGTTAATCGCATAGATGAGTGAAGCACATCTTTGGTTTCATACACCTCTTGCCTATGCTCCTTCATGTAAGTTGTTTCTCTATCATTTGAGTATTTTTTTTTTTTCAAAAAATATTGAGAATGATTAGTTTGAAGTACATATCGATATGTACACCGGTTTTTGGAAAATCTACATCTACAGCTATTGAGAAAAGCTTTGCGAGCTCTATGCATGGTGGGGCCATTGCCTTTTCGAGTTCTCTGCTGCTCTGTGCTTCATGTTGCATGGTGGGGCAGTTATCCTTCATGTAAGTTGTTTCTCTATAATACCCCTCTGTTGCGAGCTCTATTGAGAAATGCTGTTTCTGGTAAATTCGTGGAGCACCATAGAGCTGTAAAAAGACAATTTCATTTAGTCAGTAAAAGATAATAGCAATGTACTTTACTCTCATTACCAATATGGGCAATATACTTTAGTTTTTATCCATAATAGCAATGTAACTACATTTCTTAACTAATGAAACAAGGGATTTTGACATAAAAGTCCTTAAGTTTGTTGAATTTTGTCGGTTTTGTCCCCGTGACGATTTTTTATTCATTAATGCCCATAGTTTGCCAAGTTTTTTTTTTCCCATTTTTGCCCTTGTTAAACTTAAGGAATTTCATGTCAAATTTAGAAAATACACTTGGGATAAAAAACATAAAAGATTTGTAAACTTAAGGTTTTTCTTTTTTTTGCAAATTTATATGCTTAAAGGCAGACACGAAAAAAAATCATCACAGGGACAAAACCATCACATTTTGACAAATTTAAGGGTTTTTATGTCAAAGCCCATAAAACAAATAGTATTACAATATAATAGGTAAAAACTAAAGATATACACGTAATTTGCTATTATTGGTAACAAAGTGTAAATATGTTGCTATTATGGGTAAAAAAAGTGCATTGCCTATAATGGTAAAAAAATGTAAATTGTTGTAATTAACTCAATCAAAACTAACCTGAATAACAACAAATTTTGCATTATTTCCACGTGAACGTCTAAGTTGAACTTGCCAAATATTCTCATAAGAGAGTTGAAGCTTGTAAGAAGTAGTAGGATATGAAACAACAAAGTACAACCTCCTTAATCCAAACCCAAATTTCACTGATACATTTTTCATTTCACTTAACACATGCAAAGTATCCTTTGACACCTGGCAACCAAAATGAATAGTCGTCCCTTCCATTTCAAATGCAAATTGTTTGGGCCTCTGTTCAATGTCATGATCATTTATAAAAGCCTTTAAATAAGTTCTACCAAACCACAATCTTTTATTGTTTGCAAGGTCTATAATGTACTCAACTCTTTCCCTTGTTTTGAATTGTACTTTTGCATATGATCTTGACCCTCGGTTTGCCTTTTTGACCTCTAAAGCATAAATAGTCCCGGGACCCGTGTAATTCTCTAGAGATGTTTTGATTACTTCTGCAGATTCTAAATTTGGGTATCCATACACCTGAACTGTCTTACTCATGGTGTTTTAGCTGTGATGTGATTTTAGAACATGTAATCAGTACCCATAAATACATTGAAATCGTAACAAAAGAAGTAATGATAAGCAATTTAAGCATAAAAAAGATAGAAACTACATTATTGGAATAACTTGTTTATAGAAACCAGTTACCTCCCTCTTTTACCTTTTTCCCAATTTTGTACAAAGAATCCAAGTAAATGTTTCTGAGAAAAGTACAAATCAAAACACATTTGACCTAATCTAAGAATCTATGAAAGATCACACGTTTTAATCATGGAATCATGTTATTTCTTCCATTACATATGACTTATATCTTCACGTAAAAACAAATTTACAGGACTCTGATGATAGATCACGCATTTTAGTAACTGAAATTCGTTCATTTCATCAAACAAAAAGCAAAATTGTCTACAAACTGATAAAATTTTTACCAGGTTCGATCATTTTAATCTAGTAGCAATTAGGTTAGAAACAGAAAGGAAATCAATAATGCTATCATAAAGCTTAAGTAACAGAAACTATTTAGCAGTTAGTATGCAATGGAAGAGCGATTCACCAAGTAGTGAAGATGACGAAGCGAAACGACGACGTCGATGATCTGCGTAAGGGTTGGGGTTTGTTCATGGACGTTTTTATGTGTACTTGGATTGGATATAGGGGACTTTGATCGTCAATTTGCTAGTCTTTTTCTAGAAGATTCCTTTTGGTTTATCGTTTTGTGGCTAAATCGTACTATAGTAGCATTATTTGACGTTTAAAAAGTTAAAAAGTGAATATAGTGATTGTATTATGGGTCACAAGAAGGACTATGTTGTTTCATGAATTTTTAATATCATTCGTCCTTTTCACTATACTTTATTAATAGATATATTTCCGTTTGAAAAAAGAAAAGATGGTATAATTACTTTATCTTTTAAGTATACTCTTTTGATTGTTTTCATGATTTTATTTCGGGATAATGACTTAGGAGGGTAATTAGGTTTTCAGTTTGTCCGTATTAGGTCACAAAGGTTTTTTAACGGTAATAACAACCATATTGGTCTAATACGCATAAAAAAAACCTTAGTGACCTAACACGGACAAACTGGAAACCTAATTACCCTCCTAAGTCATTATCCCTTTTATTTCGACTTATTAATAATTAATCGAATTCGTTAGGTTGGGTATTGGAATAGAATAAATGTTTTTTAAGCTTATTCGATTTGTATTTACTAGATAAGTAGATATTGTTTAGTGATAAATTATTATACAGAAAATATATTATATCATGATACACAATTATTGTCTCTTTTTTCATGAAATTGGTGTCATTGGGCCCCACAAAAATCTCATGTGTTTTGATGAATATAAACAATACCAACCGTTTATCCGATGAATACTCCTACAAGATGATAACAATGATATTTAAAAATTTGAAGAACATCCGTACACCTCCAACTTTTAGTTCGTGATTTCACCCATTGTTTAAATTGGCGTCTTTGGAGACACTATTTTATGTTTAGATCATTACGCTCATATTCCAATTCCAATAGAAGATAAATTACATATTTACATCAAGAAGTGGGTCGTTGTTAGATGAAGTGTATCCATTGAGGTGAATGCAAGACTCGGTGCACAAGTTATGATCAATAATATCTTGAATTGTTTTAACAATCAAACAACATTTATAAATATTATTAATATATTCTCACTCTCCATTAAATAATTATTTTAGAATTACTCTTAAAAATTATGAGAGCTTTTATGGAATAAAAAGATGTTTGGGAATTAAAAAAAAACTTTTCAAAATAACTTTTAGCCAAGAAGAAAAAAAGGATTTTCCAAAAGTCATGAAATTGTAACTTTTTGTGGCTTTTAGCCTTTTAAAAGGTAAAAGACATTCAAAAGTTAAAAAATATAATTCAAACATTTTTTTAAAACAATTTTTAACTTTTACTTCTTAAAATAACTTTTAAGAAAAAACTTTTATAAAAAGAACTTTTGCGTTTAAAAAGTATTCTCAAACACCCCTTAAATGTTGGGGGGATTTGAATTTTCAAATTGGACTCTTATTTTAAGAAACTCGGCTTATGTTTTTGTCATATAAAAATGCCTTTTATATAACGAGTAAAATCAATAAGGTTTTATAAAAGTTTGTTCTAAACGCTTAGTCAATCTAAACTTTAGATGACCAATGTATATAAAAACATTCTTTCAATGACTCTTTGTTGGACCTTTTATATGAAAGCAAAAAAAAAAATGATCAACTATTGATTGGGGACTACAATCAAAGACCACACTTATTATCGTAAATTTCTCAGACTATCTATTAAAAGGTCCTACTATGGATTAATGGATATATCATTCTATCTTATCACACGTCATTCGAATTTTTTTTTTTCATCATTCCCATATAATAATTATTTCATTTTACTAACTTTCATTATAACCTAATCATTATTAATTTTATTATATAATAATAATTTTTTTATTATTAACTTTATTAATATTACTAAACTTAATTATTTTTTTTTTTCACTAACTCACTTTTTTTTTTCCTATCTACATACTCCTTTTTTAATTCCTTTTTATTTATTTAAATTTTATTTTTTTTTATATTTAAAAATTAGTGTATATTTATACAATCAAAAAGTTTAAGATATTTTGTTATTTTATTTCCTTTCTATATATATTTTTTCTAAGAACACTTTATCAAAACAATTAATGTAGATTCACAAGACTTTTATTTAAAAAAAAATCCATTAACTAAAATATTTTCATGAAACAATGCGTAGACATATATTTGTTTGTAATAGGAATAATAACTTATATTATATAATATAAACATAACTATTATATTTATTAAAACAAAAACCTTGTATTCTTATATATCATTTACTTTCGTTTTAAGTCACATATTAAACAAATAAGTATTTTTATGTTAATGACATTTTAATAATATAATTTATGATGATATCAATTCATTAATATTTGCAAAATGATGACAATAATAAAATGAAACAAATCATTATTTTTTTTAATGGGGGGCTTTATGATGTTTAACTAAAAGTAAAGGAGGGCAAATGTGTTGATCAAATAGTAAAAAAGGATGAGGAAATAGAAGCACTCATGGTTAGAACAAAACTTTTTTATGGAAAACTTTTTTATGTTATTGGCATGGACGGACATAGGAATTGACAATAGGTGTTGCCGAATATTTTTTTCTGGTCAAACATAATATAAAATCAAAAATTAATTCATTACGTCTAATACAAATAAGCGATCCATTACGCAAAAGTTAAAAACATAACAACAATCTTTCATCTATTACAATTTAAATTTGTCATCTTCGTGCAGACATCTTTTGAAACCGTTCCATTACCTTTTCATTCTCAACTTTCACAAGTGCTTTGGTTTCAACATAGCAAAGCAATGCGTCGTTCAAAAACTCATCATCAATCTTGTTGCACAAGTCGGTCTTCAAGAGCTTCATCTTCGAAAAACATCTTTGTACACTTGTGGTTGCTACGGGTAATATCAAAGCCATCTTTAAAAGTTTATAAACTAAAGGATAAGACCGATGTTTTCCCGTACTAACCATCAAACGAGAAAGCTCGGAAATTCCTTTCAAAGTGGTAAAACACTCATCTTTGATGCAAGAGTGATAAAATATCTCAAGTTGTCCTTCAAGATCTATCAAATCCGAATCATCAAAGTCATACTTGTACAACTTAGCCAACTTCAACAACTTTGATTTGTCAAATTGTGCAAATGAATCACAAGGGCTCAAAGCACCCATATATTCTAGTAACTGGGTGCTTGTTTCACTAAATCGATCTCGATATTCTGCCAATTGCATATCCACCACCGTGTTGAAGATTTCAACCTCAAAATGAAATCTATTGGTCTTTGTGGTCGTACGGTTTCTCGCACCAACATAAAAATCCTGCATTTCCAAAATAGCAATATTGTGTGTTTGACAAAAAGAGGATACCTTTGGCAAAATGCTAGCAGTTTTATTTCACCAAATCAATCGATAACTCAATAACATCAATAAAAACATAGCAATTTCACTAATTCAAGATAACAACATAGCAATTTCGATTTCACCAAATCAATCAATAACTCAATAACATCAATAAAAACATAGCAATTTCACCAATTCAAGATAAAATCATAGCAATTTCGATTTCAACCTAAACAAATTGGTAAAATTTCAGTTTTCAAACACTTGCTTCATTCTCAGTTAGGGCTTGGAGTCGAATTGAACAATAGGAATCGATTTTTGCTACTAAATCAACAAGACACTCAAGAAATTAGAAGGAATTAGCAATGGAACTTGTGACAATCCGAAATTTCTATCTTGTAAAGCCAATCAATTCAATCAAAGGTTAGACTTATTTCTGCTATCTTTTTAGCATTGTTAAGGGTCTGTTTAAGTGTTCTAAGCTTAGTACATTCAAGGATTGGGTCTAGGGATGAGTTAACTAAAGTTCATTGTGTTGCATTCGAGCCGGAAACTCCATCACAAGGAGTTTACGGCCGCAAACTAGAGTTTACGGTCGTAAACTCTTGGCAGCCGTGAACCCTTCCCTATATCATATACTTCCTTCATTATTTCATCATTTCTCACATCTTCAAGTCAAGAACACTCATTTCTCTCTCAAGTATCATCAAGAACACTTCCATTTCTCTTGAATATTGTAAGTGATTCTTCGATTTGTTTCTTGATATCCTTCTTAATCTTGTGAAACCCTTTGATTTCATCCATGAATTCAACTCTTTTGGGTTAGATCTTCAAATCATCATCATTTACACCAAGAACACCAAGAACACACACTTGTTCTTGGGCCGTGAACACCCTAAAGACCTCCAAAGTGTG